AATGTAAAAATAAACTTAACAACGACCTACAGTCATAGATCTGTGGTTATCAAAGCTTGTTGTTAGCATTAGGTCAAGGCTGTAAGGCAAATTCCTACATGTTTTATATTATTTGCTGATATTGCACAGACTCTGGGAAGCTAAAAGGAACGAGTTGAAGCAGGAGAAACATTTCCCCCATTTATGTTTGTCAAATGCAAACTGAGATTACAATCTGAAACAGTTACGTTGTGAATGGTACAGTTTTAAAGAAAGAGCGATAAAGTATGCAGAGTTGGATATGACAGTGTAGTGCATTAGGAAATACAGCACATACTTACAAAAAAAGCCCACACATGTCTTGAAAGATAAAATAATAACTTGTTTTTGCACCTTTGTGTGAGGAAGTGAATATGAAACTCGACTAACATTACCATATTGAGAATGGGAGGGGAATAAAAAAACTTCTGCTAACTGAATGAGATCTTATCAAATTGGTTCAAGCGTGCTCCCCCCCCCGCCCAAAAAAAAAATCTAACGGGTTGAGACCACGGCTGTGGATCAGATATAAGCAGCTCTTGCAGTTCACCCACAGATGTGAGGAAGGAAACCTTCCAGAGACTAACAGAAGATGGCCCTGCTTACATTTGCCCTGCTTCTCTCCATCGCTCTCCAAGGCTGTGGTAAGACAATAAAATAAAGTATAGTGATGAGATTAATTAAAGTGAAGGTTATTAATGAAAATTTCTTCCTGTAGCCTTGACTTACAGCAGCGGTGGTTTGGAAAGCTTTCCTGAAGAGTTAAAAGTAAGTGATTTCTCATAGTTAGGCCATGTTTTACATTTAAATCAGGGGTGTCAAACATAAGTGACGGGGGCCAGAATCAGCTCTGCAAGGACTCCAATTCAGTCCACTGGACGGCTTTGGAGAATCTTTTCATGAGTCTTACCCAGTGTTGGTCAAGTTACTTGAAAAAAGTAATCAGTAACTAATTACTGATTAGTTCCCCAAAAAAGTAATCCCGTTACTTTACTGATTACTTATTTTCAAAAGTAATTAATTACTTAGTTACTTTT